ATATATATATATATATATATGCTTTTAAAGGCATATATGCTTTTATTAAATTGATCGCCACTGCGACAAAGTTATACATTCAAACCTCTATAACACCTTCGTTTATTCCGATATTTTTTTGCTGTTATAGTGACCATATATTATAACATAACATAAAAAATTGCTTCAAAAGAAAACTTGGCCGTTATAATAAAGTATTGTTATAGAGGATGTCTATTATAGAGAGATTTGACTGTACTGGTGAAGTGGTACTCTGCACTCACTAATCTAAAATTCCGCACCGGGCGAGGCCATGATGTTCAATTATTTTCCCTTGAGATTGTGATGTTGCCTGATTCTACTTGACTCTCTTCTTTAAATTTCTTATATATATCACTTGCATAAAATTTTCTTGTTCTTAGCACCAAAATCAATGACACAATGCTTCCTGCAAATGTAGCTGCTGTAATTATTAGAAAAGCCTGCTTGTAACATTGGACTCCAACACAATTCAAATCCTCTCCAACTTTTCTAGCAATTCCCTTAGCTGCTAACTGTTTCAATGCTTCTTTATCATATAAATAGCCAGCCACTCTGACATTGAGTATATATCCACCTATAGGACTAGCTATAGAACCAAAATTATACAATGTAGCATAGTATTTTAGTCCAAATAACTCAGAAATTATAGCCAAAATTAATGGCCATTGAGCTCCAAAACAAAACCCTATGAGAATAGATGACGCGTAGAGTGAGTTTCGAACACCAAATGCAATGAGAAGATGGCCAACACAAGAGAGTAGAAGCACGAAAGTAAGCATCAAGGGGCGCGGAAAATTGTATTTCCTTAAGAAGATTTCTGAAGCAAAACCTGAAGCTACTCTTCCAAGATAATTCCATATGCTCACTAATGATACAAATGTACTTATGCTTGAATCTTGATAGTTTAAGGACTTACCAATTTGACCTAAGTTATCGATCGCGGTCAATGTACCTCCAACCCCAAATGTAGTAACTACAAATAGAATTAACATGTCAATGTTAAATAGTGCTTGTAAAATTGTGTGATCTTCACCTCTATTTGGTGACTTAAACGCGCTTTTAAAGCATGAAGTTATTGATTCAGGCTCAGCTGATGAAGGGATATTTTCCATTTGAATGGATACATTCAATTGTGAAAAGTTAGTAGCAACTTGTCTTTTGCTTTTCCAATGATTAAGTTCTTCTCTAATGACTAAAATTAGAGGTGAGAATACTAAAACCAGAACAACAGCACCACTTAAAGAATACTCAGCCCTGTCAAAAGTAAGCTTTCTTTGGATGATGATCATAATCAAGAGAAATCCAGCAAGTCCAAGTGAAAAATAGAGAAGATTATATAACATTTTGACCTCATTTTCTTGTCGAGTGACCTTCATAATCCGAATTGAAGGGAGAAAAAAGAACGATACAAGGACGGGGAACCAAGAAATGAGTAAGATCAAAGACTTACCATTATCTCCATAAAAAGCAAGGTACATTTGTGTCATAATCGCGCCACTTAGGCCAACTGCACCTTTTAATAGGCCTAACACGATGCCTCGACTACTAGTGAAATTCTTGACACAAGTAACAGTTGCACCAGTATTTGTAAATGATTGAGAATTTGCACCAATGCATATATACAAACACATTCGCCAAACATGGGGTTTAGAAATTCGCCCCGTTACAGCCAACCATATCATGAAGTAACCAAAAAAGTTCAAGATTGCACCTATAGCAAGAACTGCCCAAGGTGGTATAATTTCCATAATTAAACCAGCAATTATGGCTAAATTACCACCCAAATCCTTGAAAAAGCTAATCATGTTTAGTGTTGTTTGATCATAACCTAATGAGGATTTTATCTCCCCTGAATATAGGCCAAATATGAAAGTTGCACCAGCCATTGATAGTATCATTAGAGAAGAAAATGCCATGAACCAACGGCTAGTTAGCAAATGGAGGCTAAACCTCCAAATCTCTGGCATTGCCATTATCTTTGTTTGGAGTTTTGACTGACATATTATAAGGGGGATTTAATACTAATGATCATTGGTTTGTGTTCGAGCTGTTTTAATATTATATACATGAATTTTGTCTCTTATACTAATTTTTTGTAGCAATTGGATATTTGAAAATCTTATGCCGGCAGCTATATGATTGCTTGTTGAATTCTTTGTGTAATCTGAACTCTTAAAATGAGGTTAACTGATCACGCCCAACTCTAGTGCTACAAAAGTGTTTACCGTGAAAATGGTAATAACAATTAAATTTGATTTAGTAGTTCTAAAAATATGTGATCTATTTTTATGCTAGTTGTTAGGCACTTGATGCTACGTGAAAAACTTAGAAACGGAATAAGAGCTTAAAAACGAGATGTTAATCAAACCGAATCATTGCCAATCGAGGCCTCGAGCTTGCCTATTCGAGGGCCTCGGGGTCGAGTCTGAAGCTCGGCTGGGAGCTATCGAAGGTGGTCGATGGAGACTAACAGTTATAAATAAATCAAAGGCGGCTCTTTATGGCCAATAATAAGCAATAAGTGATGAACAATAAATCGAACACAATAAATATGAACAATAAATGAGATAACGAGACCAAGAGAATGTGTTAGAGAGTAGAGAGCATGTTCTAGTATATTTAGTATGGAGCAACAAATGTTTACAAGATGGTAAGGATCCCCTTTTTATAAGAGAAAAAATCCCAACATAGTATAAGTGCATTTATTACAAAGATATGGAGATGGGACAGCTAGTTAATGTCATGATACGGGCTCAGACTAGCCTGACAGACTTTGTCGGTTCTAGCTTCACGCCTCGGTAACTCCTCACTTTTCCATCATAGTCGTTGGCCTGCATCGCCTCGAGGTCGAGCGTCGATAGCCTTCAAGGGTGGACCTCGACCCTAGTCCCGAACCTTGTGAAATATGCTTACGAGGCATTATAGTGACGGAAAATTGAACCCTCCAATTTTACCGTACACAGATAGTCTCCGCATTTCTTAGAGTGAAAGTGATAAGAAACTACCTTGAATTCCTGCCCCTCTGGTACTTCTGTAATGACGACAGTCATAAGGTGCCAAAATACGATGTACACACAGCCCCTGAAAGCCTTTGCATTGATTATGGCGGTTAGCTGTCCCTTGGCATGATTCAGCGTGCGTGCAGGGCCTCTATAAATACTCCTCTTCCCGTCCTTTACAACTCATTGCATCACCAAGCCCCCAAAAAGGTTCCTTATACCTTTACTTTTGTTCTTTCTTCTAAATGCAACTTCCCTTTCTCTTCCGGAATATTTCAGGAACGGCGAAAACTTCTGCCTCTGCTTCTCAGGAAAGCGTGACCTCCTCATCTTCGCTTCCATCTAAAGGCAAAATGGCAATGCCTCCTCGTGCTGAGGAATGTGTTCCAGAATTTTTCGCAAAGGCTTCCGATTTCAAAGTCGAGAGACCTTCTTTGAAGCCCGGGCGCCGCGAGCCCGTATCTTAGTATATTAGCTCAGTATCAGATGTTGAAAGGGTGAGGACTGATTTCTGCTGAGGAGACACAGTGCTTGTGGAGATCCCTACTCGGGAGGAGGATATAACGACATACAAAGTCGGTTTCCTCAGTGTGTATACTTACCCATTTACCCTTGGGCCGGTAGGGCCATCCTTGCCTCCGATGGACTCCTTGATTCTCGACTTCTGCCAACGATACCAAGTAACCCTCGGACAAATTCACCCTTCATTTTAGGCCATTGTCTAAATGATCAAGTAGTGTGTTAGCATGATTGAGGAGATGCCCTTCACCCTCGATCACCTGATCAGGATATATAGTCCCCGTCTCTTTCGTGGGGTTCTGATTAAGCTTCACTGCCGAGCTCCGAGGGCCCTTTTTGCTTGTATCAAAGAAATTGGGAACGGGTGGATGAGTCGCTTTGTCCTAGTAAGGACTTCGGACCTGATCCTAGTGGAAAGGATGCCGTTCCCCGGAAGGAGGAATATGGAACGTAAGTAGAGACACTATCTAGCATTTCCTTACTTCTTTTTAGGTACATCTTTCCATGCGCTTAATATTTTTCGTTGGTGCAGCCGTGGAAATTTATCCTGGTGCAGTCACGGACCTCTCGGGTTAGGTCGGTCGGCTAGACTCAATTTGCCCATATACCGAGCGAGTGTGGTGTAACCTATCTCGAACTCGATGGGAAGCTAAGGACCATGGTGAGCTTTCGCCCCTATTGCAGTCGTACCTTCTAACTTGAATCGCTATTGATAACGCACTCACTCCCTGGGCTTACCTCTTTCATTTGTGCAGGTCTAGGGGAGATTCCCTTGATGAAGAGAACATCACTTGGTGACGAGAGTACTTTGGGACCCGACGAAGGGAAGAAAAGACAAAGGGAACCGTCGAATGAACCTTCTAAATCCAAGAAAATCAAGGTGAAAGAAACTAAAGCCGACCCAATAGCCCTAACTCCGGGGGCAACTGGAAGTCCCCGAGTCGAAGACGAGAGGGAAAATAATTTCTTAATAACGCCCGAGGTAGAGGAAAAGTCGATCGATTCTCAGGCCATAGAGATGGTGGCTCTTGAGCCGGAGCTTGATGTCATCGTGGTCCAACTTCAGAATGAGGAGGCCATTGAGGGGGTATTGGGTGATGTCCCCAAGCCGGCTGATGGCCAAAATACCCCTCAAGATGGAACACATTTGGTAGGCGGCTCAGAGGAGCCCAGTTCTGGAGCCCTTCATGGACAAGAGATAGCCCTGATTGACCCTACTGGTGCCATTGTCGTGAGTGATTCCCCTCAAGGAACGACCTTACCCCCTAAGGGAATACAAGGTGTCCCGAATGAAGAATCTTCTGATGCAGGGGTGCCTATCGGAGACAGAGAGGTGATCAAAAGGCCTTCAACCGCTCCCGAGGGAATTCCCGAGCTCGATACTTCACTCATCTTCGGCGAGATGAGCAGGCTTTGCGAGCAGGTAGCTTTTGTAAATCCTGTCTGCCGTTCTGATCTTTGTCGCTCTGATCTTTGTCTTTCTAACTTGCCTTTTTCATGGCTTCAGGCCAAGGTGCTTTATAATTAGACTTTCACCCGGTTTCAGGCTGAGGTGACCCGTCATGAGCATGAGAAGGCTCATCTTGTTGAACAGGTTATGTAGTTTCCGTTTTGCTATCGTTTGAATGTTTGCCGGATCCCAATGTTTTAACATCAATGGATTTGATTCATGCAGTTTGAGAAGGAGGGTGCCCTGCTGAGGGATGGGCTCCGAGCCAGAGACTTTGAAGTCCTCAAACTCAAACGACATGTGAGAGAGATAACCTCTGAGAGGGATACCCTTCAGGAAAAGATAGCCTCAGTCGGGCGTTAGCTTCAGGATGCGAGGGCGGAGAGTGACAAATATAGAGGTCTACACTTTGAGCTAGTAGCTACACTATCTGGGATCAAAAACGAAGTTGAGGCACTTATATTTGTGCATAAAAAAGATGTCATTGTAATAAACGCCCACACTGGGAGAGTGTCTGAGTAGGCCGAGCTGAAATTGACTCAAGCTGTAGAGCACGCTCTGTTAGAATCTCGGGGGAAAACTCTAGAGGACACATATGCAAGAGATATTGAGTTGTCTGTCGGGATCGAGAGGGTGAAGACCCTAGGGGAGAGAGTTTCTGTCATGTTTACTTCCGGAGATATGCCGGGTAGCGGCTTAGAAGATGACGAGAATGGAGGCAGGATTCCCCAAGGAGAATGGAGGCAGGATTCCCCACTGTAGGCGCCAAACTATTTACCGTGAAAATGGTTATAACAATTAAATTTGATTTAGTGGTTCTAAAAATACGTGATCTATTTTTATGCTAGTTGTTAGGCAGTTGATACTGCGTGAAAGACTTAGAAACGGAATAAGAGCTTAAAAACGAGATGTTAATCAAACTGAATCGTTGCCAATCGAGGCCTCGAGCTTGCATATTCGAGGGCCTCGGGGTCGAGTTTGAAGCTCGGCTGGGAGCTATCGAAGGTGGTCGATGGAGACTAACAGTTATAAATAAATCAAAGGCAACTCTTTATGGCCAATAATAAGCAATAAGTGATGAACAATAAATAGAACACAATAAATATGAGCAATAAATGAGATAACGAGACCAAAAGAATGTGTTAGATAGCAGAAAGAATGTTCTAGTATATTTAGTATGGAGCAACAGATGTTTACAAGATTGTAAGGATCCCTTTCTTATAAGAGGGGGAATCCCAATATAGCACAAGTGCATTTATTACAAAGATATGGAGATGGGACAGCTAGTTAATGCCACGATACGGGCTCAGACTAGCCTGATAGACTTTGTCGGTTCTAGCTTTACGCCTCGGGAACTCCCTACTTTTCCATCATAGCCGTTGGTCTGAATCGCCTCGAGGTCGAGCGTCGATATCCCTCGAGGGTGGACCTCGACCCTAGTCCCGAACCTTGTTAAATATGCTTACAAGGCATCATAGTGACGGAATATTGAACCCTCCGATTTTACCGTATACAAAAGGATAAGCGGCCGCTGCAATAGTCCGATCTAAGAGTCGGGAGTCGAATCTCACAGAGAACTAAGGTTTAGCTACGACTGTCCTATCACTAAGAAGACACGCTCAAACAATTCCTAAGTTATAAATATTCATATTCTTTGTCTAACTAATTAAGTATTAAATTAAAGTAGTAAATTAGCAACTAAAGATACTAAAGGTTGCAGACAAGATTAAGGAGGTCTAGAGTTATGATTTTTCCCAATTGTCGGCGTCTTTCCCACTACGTCTCCTATAATATCGCCTAAGTACTCTCTACTGATTGTGATCACTCGACTTATCGTAATTCTATCGAGTAACTACAATAATGTACTAATCATATTATCTCGAATTACGCTAGCTCACACTTTTTCACCGCTCACTATAATCACGTCAAAGCTTCGTTATTTCTAATTCCGCTTTTAAACTCGCCGTATTGACCTCCCATATACGTTAGGAGTGACGTTGTTCAA